TTAAAATTACAGATGAATCACAAGAACAATATAAAACAAATTCTTCAAGATATTTTCTTTGTACTAAATGTCAAATTCATTTATATACTCGAGAAACATTTCTTAATCATTATTCAATGCATCAACAAGGATATTTATTTTGTAAACGTTGTTTTCAATTTTATAATAATGAACAAATCAAAACACATGATTGTCAACAACGAAAAATTGATGAATTACAAAGTCTTGAACAATTAATTCCTCCGGATATTACCGAACAACAACAACAAGACTTTAATCCAAAAGGTAAAAGATATTCAAAAATATGAGTTCGATAGATCTTAGACAACGAGCTTTTCTTATTGCTGAAATACTTTTTGATCAATCAATTATCATTTAAATAGTAAAATTCATCTTCTACTTTTATACTGTTTGTTAACAATTAGATTATGTCAATGATCATGATTCAACTAGTACAACACGTATGACTTATTTTGGTTTACCTAAATTAACTGATTCAATAATTGAAATAAAAAATACCGATGGCAAACGATTATTTCGTTGTCCACTTTGTTTTAATTTTTATGTTAATCGATCAGGTCTTAATCGACATTATATTACACATAGTTCACAAGATTTATGGAAAGTTGGTTCGTAGAAATATTTCATTTCTTCATAAATATACTGATACGTTTTGCTTTTTAGAATGTCAATACTGTGGTAGACGTTATTCACGAAAAGATTCTTTAAAATATCATATGAAAAAAGAACATGGAGATATGATTATGTCTGATTGGACTGGAAAAGATACGAATAATTCTTTCTATCATCCATCAAATTTATTAGATGTTGATTCAATATCATCTTCATCAAACGAAAAAGAACACATAGAAAATGATGATATTGTTTTAGTTACTTAAAAATCTTTTTTTTTTGTTCAAAAAAAAACGTAGTGTTAAAATCATTCGATAATATTTCATTTTTACCAATGTAGTATAAGGTAGAAATACTACAGTCAGTATACACATGAACAGAATGGATATCATTTTTTGAAAGTGTCTTAACAACTTACTACATAAACATACAACGAGATATGTAAATAGATAACGTGTGACTGTTATCGTTAGTATTCTCTATGTTCATCATTTTGCTCTTTCGAATTACATGAACTACAATCAGTAATAATTTAGTTTTACGAAATTTTTATCATCATCTTTCTGATTAAAAAATATTAGATTACTTTTAATGTACATATGTATATATATGTTTGCCTTAAAACTAGACAAGTTATTTTTTTCTTATAAAAATTACTTTTAAGAAAAAAACCCTTAAAGAATATTCTAGTTTATATAATGAATACAAGAAATTTTATGTTACTATTTGCTGTAGTTACATTTAAATTTTTTATGTTTGAAGTTCTGCTACCTTAGAAACGAACGAGAAAAAAAAGAAACAGAATAAACTACCCCTAAGGCACCATTTGTAAGAATATAAGAAGAAAAATCAAGTAAAAAGTAACAATAACAATACCCTTTTCTACATCTTAATTTTGTCAATGTCAAATCTTATTTTCTTCTTTTCAGGGAATTATTGAATAGTCGACAAGAAAAAAAGGAATTCAATTAATAATCATGAGTGCAACAACTACGAATATTATATCTACTAGCCATCACTTACCAACTACTTTATGTTCACAATGTAGTTCTATGGCACATTTTCAATGTATAGATCATTGTAGAGAAGTTTTCTGTGGTAAATGTAGTGTTAAACATCGTACAACAGTTGTTAAACAAATGAATGATTTAACAGAAAAACTTAAACAATGTAAAATTGATCCTATAACAACACATAATGAAATTGATGAAAATTTTTTACGTGCATCTCAACAAACTATTAAACGTACACGTGATACAACGAATAATTTAATTGCAGAACTTCAACAACGTGAAGATTCAATAATCAAAACAATTGAAAATGCTTTAGAAGATAGACGAAAAGAAAGAGAGAAACGTACTGAGTAAGTATCAATTACATCTAAATATGTATATAAAGAAAAAGCATCATATCTTTAGTTCAGCATTATTAACAAGTGAACAAGCTATTGATTATACTCATTTACTTCACGATTGTCTTAATCAAGATCATTTAATCAATGAAGAAACTATGATGAATATCCAACGTCGTTTAGATGCTCGTAATGCTCTTGGACATTCAGTATCGGAAACAAAACATCCTGTTGTTGAACAAGGAAAATTTGAACCTGAAAGATTACTTCATCTTCGTTATGCTCCTCGAGCACAATCTTCACCATCAAAAATTCGAAGTTCTCATGGTACAAGAGTTACTGTACGTTTAGGTACACATAAACAATTTCAAATTCCATTAGTAAATACATTTTCTGTTGGTAAACATCCTACAGCTGTGTCATTAATGGATCGTTATGTTGAAACATTCTTTTTTCGTCGTACACCTGGTAATAGTTTAATCTTATTAAGTACAACAGCTATTGATATTTACAATCGTGGTTCAGGTATTGAATCAAGTATACATTTATCAAAAATTTTCGGTACAAGAAAAGATAAATTATTAGCTGGTACTTGGTGTGAATTGACTCAACGACTTATACTTAATGGAAATCATCGAATGTATTTTTATGATCTACGTGGACAAGGACGTACAGACATCTTTCCTTGTCAACCAGAACATGGAGATCCAGGTAATACACAAAGATTTCTTGCTTGTACACATGATGGTTCAATAATTTATGGTAAAAGAATTAATAAATTCAAAGATTTATTTTTATTACATTTTTTTATTTTAAAGCTTATAAATCCGATATAAATGAGTATACAATTGAAAAATTAGTTCATCCACCTTCATTCCCAGTGAAAGATGATAAGCTTAGACATGAACATACTGAACATTTTCTTCAAGCTAAACATATTACAAAAGTAAATGGTCGTATAGCAGCTATGTGTAACACACATAGTCGTACTGCAATTGTTTACCGTCGTTTTCGATCGGATAAACAACTGGAACATTATCTTTGTTTCGCTGATCAATCTCTTAAATTAAATAATGAAAATGAAATACGATTACCAACTGATATTAAATGGATTACAGCAATTACAGCATATGGTAATGATGGACATTATCTTCTTTGTGATCCACGTGGACAACAATTATTATTTTATCATTTAACAGAAGGTTTTCTGACACGTCGATTTCGTATTGGTGCTATAAATGCATGTTGTTTAACCGATGGTAAACTTGTTTTATGGTTACAAAAACAATATGCTAGTTCACCAACAGGAAAACTTCATTTTATAACAGCACCACACTTAGGCGAACCAGCTAATGTTGCAAAATCGTTTCCATTATTAGAACAGAAATAAGCTTATATATATATGTATTTTTTGTTTATTCACGAGGAGAATCTGTTTAAATCAGACGATATGAAAGAAATAAAGTTATTTAAGGGGGCGTTCTCCCCTATAAACATACCCTGGTGTATTCTCTAAACCATTTTTAATTACCAATTAGCGTTAATGAGTAAAAGTCTAGTGTAAAAAATAAATTTTTCTGATGTCAGAAAAAATTAGAGAAAGTCGTATGATATATCATTTTTAAATTTTGGATTTTTATGTCAAAAAAATTTATTTTTGATGACTAAGAACGTCAAAAAACTGACATTTTCGACTTTTTTTTACCGAAAAACCTGATATTGTAAGATAAAGGACATGGATGAAAGGGTTTTATTATGTGAAGAATATTGTCGTTGTATATGTCTAATACTATTTCAGGGTGTGAGTGTGTGTATAGATACTGTATTCATCAAGCACCCACACAATGATTTTTCATTGATCATGATGTTCTCAAAATCTTCTATAATAAAACCTTAAACTTCCACTTCATTATTTATACTATTAACTTAAATTAAATAAATTATTCATATTCTTTAGTATGACGATTTTATTTTGTCATCTATAAAAATAAAACCGTTTCATCACCACTATACATATGATTAGTTCTAGTTACTTTCTTTTTTTTTCTGCTGACGTCTTTGCGCACGTTTGTCTATACGCCTATAGATCGTATGAGGGTGGATGTTTTATCATCGATTTTTGATAGATATTAAGCCTTACATAGTGACATACATGTATGTTTACCTCCTTTCTTCATTCATGCGTGCGTCAATACATATAAAATCAACTTATAATTATATACAGAACAAAATGTATTACATGTTGTAACTTGACCATATTATGTGTCCACAAAAACAAACTTTTGATTTCGTTTGCATAGTTAAAAAAATCAATCATTGATAGATGCCTTATTTGTCAATGAAGAATCAAAAAATATTATTCAATAAGTTCTTGTATTTTTGAGGGTGTGGGTGTAGATTAAGTATTAAAAAGTAAAAGTATTTTTTTTTTGTTGACCTTCGAGTACCGAAAACTAAAATATATTTTTTCATATTTATTTACATGTGTCGACTGAAATACTTAATCACATCAATTATGAATCAAAAACTACTTCTGCGTTCTGTGCGAACGCAAATATTCATCGACACGGAAGAAAAACTCAAATACGAACGAGTTTACATAGACTAGGAAAAAAATGATACCGATAATTGCAGGTCACAGGATGATCAGTTTTTCAAAAAAATTATCACGTGAATAAAAAAAAGAAAAATAAAACAAACTACGTCACCGTCTAAATACCTGTACGAAATTTGTATAAGCAATGTATTGGGAAGAATGATAGACAACTATAACGCATCATCAATAATTATTATTTTTTCGTTCTTGATAAAACACATGAAGCTTTTTTCATCAACGTTCTTACTTTGTGAGTACACGTATACTTGTTCTTCTTTTTTCTTTTTCATTCAATATATGTACTCGGAGGACACATAATATTTGTTATTTACAATTACATACAGAAATATTCAACGATCATAACTAAGAAACATGAAAAAATTCATTTACTCAAAACATATCAAGATTGAAAATACGAAAGATTATGTATTAGAATTTATTAATAATTCAAAAATAACAAATACAGTAAGTTAATCATTCAATAGAAATATAATATACCTTTTTGTCTAATCATACATTTATTACCTTGCAGTATTCAGCTGATTTAGAACATACATGGAATAAACCAAAATATCCATATCCTGATCAATTCCTTATAAATGAAAAATTTAATTTATACGAACAGACAGCTCATTTAAGACAATTCAGTATTTCTGATGATAGTCACTGTCCTTCTAATACAAATGATGAATTTAATAAAACAACTGCATTTAAATCTTTGTCATCAGCATCATCGACTTGTTCATCTGATTTTAATTCACCTACTCATTTAGTTCCATGTCAAACTTATAATCATAGCCCAATAACACCAACAGGTCAAGTTCCATATGAACAAAAAATTTCAAAAATACATTCAGATTTATTTCATCACTCGTTTAATACAACATGTACTTGTCAACAATGTTGTCCAGTAAATGATGATTGTTGTCAAGCAATTACATATGAAATTTTCATGAAACAACAACAACAACAACAGCAGCAACAGCAACAACAAAATCTAATGACTTATCCATATTTTTCATATAAAAATAAAACATCATTTTCTTCACATTTAATTGCTGATGACAAGGCTAGAGACATTATTAAAGCAGAACCTTCTGAACATGAACCAGTATTCCATGTAACTTCATCATCACCTTTGTTTATTTTACCTCCGATACCAACTAACATTACAAATCCATCGACTATTTATGATTTTCCTTTAAAATATCCCATATATCCACATGAAAAAAATGATAAAAAACGTGTTTTAACAAATACTTCCGAAATAAAAAAAGCCAAACGAAAATCATTATCGATAAAAAAACAATTAGAACAGACGACAGTTCATACATGTCCATATCCAGGCTGTGGAAAAACCTATAATAGATTATTTCATTTACGTTCACATAAAAGAACTCATATGGGTATTAAACCATTTTCTTGTACATGGCCAGATTGTGGATGGAAATTTGCTCGATCGGATGAATTAACAAGACATTTTCGGTAAAAAAATTAATTCCTTTTTTTTTTAAATAATGAATTGTAAAATTTTATTTTATTTTTAGAAAACATACCGGTGTAAAACCATTTTCTTGTAAACATTGTGACCGAGCATTTTCTCGTTCTGACCATTTAACGCTTCATATGAAACGTCATTTATAAAAGTAAACAATCTTAGTAAAAAGAAGATTTTATGTGTTATTTTTTTGTATTTAAATTTTTTTTTTATTAAAAGTATAAAATTTTTTTTTGTAAGATATATAATTGAATAGATTTTTCAAAATAAATTTTTAAATACAGCAACATGCTAAAATTTTCTATTATTAAATGCCATGATAAAGAAAACAAAAATTTGTAGACATGGATAAAATATGATTTCTTTCTCAAGGTGATTTTTATACTTGAACTTCATTGAAGATACTTTAAACTATTAATAATACTTGAACTTTCTTCAAAGGTTTCTATTATGACTACAATTACATATTCGACAGATCATGACTATAAGGTCATATTGTTTCTACTAATTAACAGTATGACATAAAAAATCTAGATGACCAGACAAGATAGATACGGAGGGTATTGTATCTATAAAAAATCTGACGCATGTAGGACAAAGGTAATAGCAATTATAGTATGATAAAAAAATATTCATATAATTTATTTAAGAAAAATTGTTGAAGGATCGAAATTTAAATCATTGTTTTATATTATTCTAAAAAATATTTTAGATTTGTTTATAAATTGATAAATTTTTCCTTTTACGGTTATGTCTGTCACGGTCTATGGTACATGTTGCTAAGTTGTATACTACGGTATATTGATCATGTCTATCACGGTCTGTACAAAGACAGAAGGGCGGAAGGCAAGGTCAGAATTTATACCGTTTTTATTACAACATATTTTTAGATGGATGGTATTTTATAAGAAAACACTAGTCTATGAAATTAAAATATATTTAAATTGAATTTTTTTATGTGAAATATATACTGTTTTCTTCAAAAAATTGATCAGTCATTCCTTCGCACAAAAATTGAATGTAATATTTTATTTTTCGCACTCAATGGCCTAAGTTTTATTAATTACTTTTTTATACTACATAGTAACTAATAACCATTGTATAAATGACAACTACGATAAATAGCAATCGCTATATCGTTAATATATCTAGTAAATTATTTCTTAATTTGTATTTAGATAAAAAAAAATTTTTTCGCTAATTTTGTGAATATGTAATTTAAATGAACATCTTCAGCATTGACCCAGGCAGAATTAGAATTCTAGTTCTGTCTGGGCAAAACTAGAATATTATCGATTTCGCCTATAAAACTTGGTTAAAAATCAGTAAGGAAAATAAGTAAAAGTCTAAGACTGATAGTGAGGATGAGGACGAGTATGTCGTACAGGATTCAAGTGTTAGTCTATTTTAGACCACCAGAATTCTCATAAACAATGAGGTTTTGACTAAAACTGAGGTTTCCCGCGATTAATCACTTTCACTTTTACCCTCCTCCTCATCAACACCTTCGCTGTCATCCTCATTATCAGTCTTAGCCTTTTACCTATTTCCCTTACTGATTTTTAACCAAATTTTACAGTCGAAATCGATAATATTCTAATTTTGCCCAGGCAGAACTAGAATTCTAATTTTGTCTATAACATATATATATAATACTTATTATTGAATGAGTATATGATGGTATATTCTTATCATTGATCTTCTTTCACGTTAAAAACATATTAAATTTTCAATAAACAAATTTTTGTGTAATTCATAATGTGATAATCAACTCATTTTTATCTGATAATATACTTTGGATATCTATATCTCATCTGTATTTAACAAACGTATTTATTTATATATTATCTGTCACTATTGTATGAAGATAGAAATTTATTTTCTTTCTTTCTTTCATTCTTTCTTATCTTTGATTTTAATAAGCACGTTTCTAAACAAATCGACAAAATAAAATAAAAATACTAAAGCAAAGTAAAATGCATAGTGTTAGTCGATTATTATTATTACCATCATTTCGTTATGGACAAATTCGTTATTTAAATACACATATATTTGATATTCATCCTGAAGTAAAATCAGCTTTAGCTGAACATCGTCCAATAGTTGCATGTGAAACAGCTATTCTTACACATGGTTTACCACGACCAATAAATATTGAAACATGTTTACATATTGAACAAATTATTCGTGAAAATGGTTCTATACCAGCAACAATTGCTATTTTAAATGGTCGAATCAAAGTTGGACTTACACAAACTGAATTAGAACAACTTGGTTCATCAAATCATATTGAAAAAGCTTCTCGACGTGATTTATCTTATCTTATATCACATCATGCATCAGCCGGTACAACTGTTGCAGCAACAATGCTTATTGCACATCGATGTGGTATAAGATTATTTGCAACTGGTGGTATTGGTGGTGTTCATCGTGATTCAAATACAACAAATGATATATCATCAGATTTAGATGAGCTAGGACGTACACCTGTTTGTGTAATTTCAAGTGGTGTTAAATCAATTCTTGATATTCCTAAAACACTTGAATATCTTGAAACAAAAGGCGTTGGAGGTATATTGTTTTAATAAATATTATCTCATTATTTTGTTATTTTTAGTTTATACATTTGGTGATACAAATGAATTTCCAAATTTTTTTACACGATCAAATGAATTTGGATCACGTTCATGTGCAGCAATTCGTACAATTGATGAAGCTGCACGACTTGTTCGAAGTATGATTGATTTAAAACTGGATTCTGGTTTATTACTCGCTGTTCCAATTGATAAAAATGATGAATTAGAAGTAGGTGGTGGAGAAAAAATTGAAGGAATTATTCGCGAATCTCTTAAACAAGCTACCGAAAAAGGAATAACTGGTAGTAAAGTAACACCATTTGTTCTTGGTGAAATACGTCGTCAAACGGGAAATAAATCCATAGAAACTAATCAAAAATTAATTTATAAAAATGCTCGAATTGCATCACAAATTGCTGTTGCTTTATCAGCATTTAAATCCGATTCATCTTCTTTAAGTAAGTCATTTTAATAGAAGCAAAAAAACAAAACAAATCTAGACTTTATTTCTTTCTTTTTTTTATAATTTTTATTATTCAATAAATAAAGTTATCATTGGAGCACGAAATATTGATTTACATATACAACTTAATGCTGATTTTATACTTAATAAAGGTTCAACTATTCCTTGTCGTTTACGACAAAATTTAGGTGGAGTTGCATATAATGTTACACATGCACTTCATCTATTAAAGAATCATTCTATTCGTCTACTTACTGTTTCGGGTACTTTAACTTCATTAATAAATGAAGATTCAACTCCAACACTTATTCATGAAATTAAAGATGAATCCACAGCTAGTTATATATCCGTACTTGATTCGAAAACAAGTGAACTTATTTGTGGTTTTGGTGATATGGGAATCTATGAAAGACAAATAACACCAATATTTTTAGATAAAAATCTTTCAACTATAATTAAAAATCAATGGATTATGTTCGATGCAAATTTAAGTCAATTAACAATTGAACATTTAATAAAAATTGGTACGAAATATAAGAAATATTTAGTATTTATATCAGCTGGTGGTCCAAATAAAGCTCGACGAATTAGTAAATATTTAAAAGATATTCATGTACTTTTTTGTAATCGTTTGGAATTTGAAGCTATTACCGGATCATCGTCATTGGAATTTAGTTTAAAAAATTTATTCGAAAATAATTCGAAATTAAAATTAGTTTGTATAACAATGGGCGTTGATGGTGTACTAATTGGTGTGAATGGGCAATTAAAAAAATATAAAGCTTTAAATTTAGATAAAGAACAGCAAGATATACGAAATGTTACAGGTGCTGGAGATAGTTTTGCTGCTGGTGTTATGAATCAATTATTAAAAGCAAATTTTGAAAATATAGATCGAGCTATTGCATGTGGTTTATTAGCAGCAAAATTAACTTTAACATCTCCAAATACAATTAGTGAACAATTAAAAATGATTGATGATATAATGATCGATGAGATTTGTTTGAAACAACTTAGATATGAAAATATTGATTTGTAATTATCTATTTACAATTGTAGGAAAAAAAAGAAAGAGAAAAAAATATATATATCGTTGTTTGATAACAATTATTATCGACATTGTTTTTTTTCTATATTCAATAATTTATAGATGGACAGAATTTTTTTTCCTAACCGTGCTTTTTTTTGGGCATTTTGGGCTGCTATTATTTTTATTTTTGGAATGATTGGATATCTTATTATGGACACATTTGATTATATGAATATATCTTTTTTTAATACATTTGTAACCGATATGATCTACGTTCTACTTGCAAGTTTATTCGTAATATGTGCTACATTACAATTCTTTGCTATTTATTATAGGGAACGTCCATAAAGGGCGTTCAGGTAAAAACGGCACTTTCTGACCTCTTCCCCACGGGGGAACAAACTGATTTCCATACTAGAACGTGTGTATATGAGTGGGTGTGGGTATGGGTACCAGGTGCATACAGTATCTACACCCACACCCACACACATCCCCAACTGATTTCCATACTAGAAATCATAAGAAATCATGGGAAATCAAGAAATCAGTTTGTTCCCCTTTGCCTCTTCTCTCTATTCAGAAGTATTCATTTTTTGCTGAACCTCCCCTCCTTTTTCTGCCTAGATTGGAAAATGTTTTTCAAAAAACCCGATGGTTAAAAAAAGCTTAAATTAGTGTCTGGATGTCTATGTGTATCTGATCCCTCTGACTCTTCCCTTGGACGTTCCTTATAGATGGTTCCATATGAATAAAGATGTTGAACGATACTATACTATGATTATATCTTGTCTATTTGATAAAATTGGAGCTCATGCTTATCTATTTGGTGCAATATTAACAGTAGTAGATTCTACAAAAGTAGAAACTATTTGGACATTAAGTACTATTGGTGTTTGTGGATTTGTTATTGGTGCAGCAATAAATCTGATGATACCTGCAACAACTTATTTATATATATGGGCTGATTATTTTAATTTATTAGGATCATTATTGTATTTACTAGCAACAATTATTGCTCGTCTGCAAATATCACAATTAATTGTTATTTTTGGTGATACGATTTATCTTATTGATTCAATTTTATATATGTTATGTTGGTTTCAAGAGCGTCGATTAGTAATCGAACAATATGGGCAGTATATGTTATTGAAATAACGAGAGGAATAAAATATGTATGTTCTCTTTATCAGATAATAAGATTTTTCTTTCTTGAAAATAGTAAATCGATTAAAAGATTGTTTTTATCATATTTATAGTCAAATAAAATCATGAAATAGATTATATAAGTATATACAAAAAATTATAGAAAAAACAATCTATGAAAGTATAATACGATTTACTTGAGAAGCAATATTAATCACATTTTCTTTATTTCCTTGAGATAATACTGGCCAAGTTATTGTTTGATGAATTGAACTAGGCACATGAATAAGACATGCATCAACTCTTTTTGTTTTCAATGGTGAAGACTAGATAACAAAAAACAATTTAATAAATATATTGCTGTTTTTTTTACCTTTCTCCATTTATCAGTTTCTGTATCATATCTTTCCATTTCATTCAAACCTTTTCCATCAAAACCACCAACAATATATAATTTAGTATTCACAACAGCAATTCCTAAAGCTTCTTTTGGTCGACTAAATGATGTAATCAATGTCCATTGATTACATTTTGGATCATAACGTTCGCCATCATCATGCCTGATAAGACTTTTATTTATTGTTGATATTTCATGTCCACCAACAGCATAAATAAATCCATTACAAGCAACTACAGCTACGCTACCACGACGTTTATGCATAGATGCACATTGTATCCAACGATTCGTATGTGGATCAAATGATTCAGTATCTCGAAGACTTGTTGCACTATCTTCACCTCCAATAGCATAGATTCTAATATCAACAAAAAAAAAGAAATATAAAAATCAAATTCAGATTATATTTATTAACAATACCGATTTTCAAGTACACCAACGCCTAATGTATATCGTGCACTATTCATCGACGCAACATAAGTCCATTCAGAAGTATCCGGATTGAAACGTTCAACAGTATCAAGAATAGCTCGTCCATCATGACCACCAACAGCATATATAGGACCACCAATACATGTAACATCTAAATCATAACGATTCGTAATCATTGGAGGACCCATAGTCCAAGTTTTTGTTTGAAAATTATAGATTTCCGTACTATTTAATCTATCCAAACAAATGTTTAATAAATAAAAATTTTAATAAGAAAAATTAAATCTACAAACGCTTTAAGACCATCTCGACCTCCACATACATATAATTTATTATTTAATCTAATACAAGCAAATTGACAACGTCGACTATTCCATTGACTATCGATTTGCCAAGTATGTGTTCGAAAATCATACTTTTCAATTGTTTGTGAATCTATTTTTTGGTAAAAATATTTATTATTTACACAAAAAATATTTTTACTTTTAATACTATCATATCCTCCTAAACAATAAAGACAACCAAGTGTTGATTTTCTTGGTTGAGTTCTTATTGATTTCATAGTTGAACGTTTTTCAGGTGCTAAATGATAGCGCATGGCTTCAATAATAAACATTTGACATACAGTATTATTCTCAAATCTTTCATTACCATCAATAAGATCTGTTAAATACTATTTTTAAAAAATAAAATGAATTATTTTTGTTTTCGAAACAAAAATATACTTTTCTTTTGATTAAAGGCAATCGAATTAAACTAAATAATTCTGCTAAGTATTCATTTCGTCGATTAAAATCATAATCAAGCCAACGAAGAAATGCTTCATAGACAATTTCTTCTGATTCAACATTAATATCATCTAGAATATTTGTAATCTAGAGATAAATATTCAAAAATTAATTATACATACCAGATGCTAAAAATTGTTTTAGTTCATCATATGATAGATTAAGAAATTCTTGGTTATTGGAAATAATTTCCGAAAAATGTTCCTGAAGAAAATATTTGATATACAGAAGAAAAAGAAATATGTAACATACAAGAATATAAGTCCATATATGTTGCATTAAATCTAATAAATTATGTAGTGAAGCAAATCGATATAAACTAAGACAATTAGATGATTGAAGTTGTTTTTTAATAAAATTACAACATAAATCAACAATTTCAGTAATATGAAAACTATGTGAAGTTTCAAGAATTTTAACAACATCATTTGAATTTATTTCAAGATGACCTAATAGACATGTTTGAAATTAGAATGAATGAATATTTTCTAAAAGTAGATTTACCTTCATATGCATAGAGAATAAATTTTTCAAAAATATCTGCATCTGTATTATTTAAAATAATTTCATTTTGTACATGATTTTCAAACATAACACGAAAATAATCAGATAATGTTGAAACAACAAGACGATGAGCAACGAATCGTCGTTTTATCTGTCCAAGTTCACAAATAAATGTAATGTCACAAAGAAATCCATCTCGAAGATACAAAGCAAATTTTGAAATGGCATCTGATGCGTAGTCAGATTTAGTATAAATATATTGATTATTATTATTCGAATCGACTGTTGATGGTGTTGTTATACCCACGGACATGTTTTATAATTATTTAGATAATAAATCAATCAAATTTGTACATACTTTGATACAAACATATTGATAAACTTCCACTATGTTTATCTTGTATCTAAATCTATAAAAGAAATCAAGTATAAATATACCAGAATATTTTCTTATTCTCTTAATAACAACTTTTCTTGTTTTTTTCATAAAATATCTGTTCTTTTTTTTTATTAAAAATTAGGGGTAAAATACACATAAATGGATTGAGAACAAATAATGTATTTATGTTAGTATCACTTATAAAAAAAAAGACACCTATATTATTTTGTTTGACCAACATCGCAAAAGTCACTAGTAACGATTATTCACAATTATTTGTCATATATTTTCTATTGAACATTAATTGCGTTGCAAAAATGCTAAAACATGTTGCCAACTTTGTTCACGTGATTGACATAATACAATCTTTTCTTTTTTAGCAATATCTTCTAGATATTTTCTTGAACGTTCAATATCTTGTCGTTCATTTTTTGTCAAGATTTTTTCTGAATTTTCATTAATTGTTAGTTGTAAACAAACAATTATATGATATTTACGTTCACCAATAAGAAATGCAAGTTCAGTAGTAAGATGTGAAAGACGTTCATAATCATTTATTATATAATATAATAAATGTGATCGTTTGCGTATATAATTATCATAAAGAATATCAAGTTGATCATTATCATGATAAGTTTGTCGTTTGATATATTTTATATTAATTTCATTGAGAACTGGTAATGCAAATGTATTCAACCAATATTCATCATGATTACCTGATGCTATATATAGATCAAATAAAAATGTTTCGTCTTCTGATGATGATGATGATGATGATGATGATATTGGTACTCTATGTGTCTTGGAAGGAAAGAAAGTAGTTTTTATTTTTTGATAAAGAGTAAAAAAAGATTGTATTAAACATGCATTTGATGTTATTGATGGAGTAGTAGTA